AAGATATCAAAAGGCACAACTTTACTAACTAGGCTTGAAATCATATTTCTCGAAATCGAATAACGCGATTTCTTTCCATTTCTCAGAAGGACTAGTGGAATAGTAACACAACACTATGACCCCCAAAAAAGCTTTTCCCATGTCCAGAAAGGAAAGGTTTCGGTCACATGAGCTAATTGCTTTGGATTGTTTACATTTTTGTTGCCCAAAAGTTCCGACGGCAATTATTTCGAAACGCTTCCATACAAATCTTCGAAACTTCGTTAACTTGAAGACAAACATATGAACTTTAAGTTCTGTTAAACARTTTTTAAAACAAACGTCTGATTTCGCCAAAAATGGAATGTATAAAAAARTGACATGACGTCACTGTATTGCTATAGTAACTCCGATCATGATAAATTTTATATCATGTAAAACTTGAATCTATCTCTAGACATGTCATAATAATTTATTTGAACTTAACTTATTGGCAGCGACSCATTTCCCCTTCAAACTTCGAAGGTACGCCACAAACAAAACCCAGTCGAGCCACCTTAAGTCTCCGTGTTTGCGGGCGTTTTTCGGGGCCTGATTCCGGTCGCCGACTGTGACATCATTGAAGGCATTTGATTGCATTTGTTATACCTAGTAATACTTAATGCTGACCATTATGAGAAAACAAATTTGCCGAACAAATTTCATGTAAACCAAGTCTGGCATTACGTTTTTACATATTTTATAGTAATATATTATTTTATCAGCAAAATCTTTCTCTTTTACTTTTTTTAAAGGTTGACCCAGAGGGTCTATGGTCCAGTGTGGAACAAACAAAGAGCACTAAAAATGGTAAAATATAGAATACAGCTTCCCAACCCTCATGACCGGACACCTCTCTTGACATCTTAAGAAAGTCCCTTTTCTCATTCGGTAAAAACCACTGTACTTTATGACTGAAGACTCGTCTGCACAGGCTTAGCCTCGTTTTAAGAACGTTATTTGTAAAAGTCAACTGCATGTAATGGAAAGAATGTGCAAGTTGAACGATACCATTGTTTTGAAACTAAGGCCCCATTTACACGAAGCCGGATATTTTTTATCCGGGTAAAAAAATGCGCGTATACATGCGGCTTCGTGTAAACGCTCATCGTTTTCGACCGTTTACACGAAAACGCTCCATCGACTCGAAAACGCTCATAGGAGCTAAATGAGCATGCGCATAGTTCTTGAGCCTGCGATCTCTTTTGTTTAGTGACGTTAGAGTTTACGAAAATATCCGGCTTCGTGTAAACGGGGCCTAAATCTCACGGTATCTGTGAATAGCTGGCTTATAGACGAGGCTAAGCCTGTGCAAATGAGTCTGTGGTCTTATAAAACAGCGGTATGCATCGGATGCGAAACTGTTGTATACTGTTGCTACAAAGATTTACGAAGTCAAAATATTCTTTTTAAACAGATCCTTCATCCTTTTCTCTGAGACACGAGTTCCCAAGACTGCTCCTCGATGACAGTCATGCAGTGCGCATGTGCATCGCGCATGCTCTTGGAAGTCTGTTTATGACCACTTCATCAACCAATGAAAAGATCCCTTTGCCAAAACCAATGCAGTATACAACTTTTGAACAAGTGGCCAAAGTACTCGCCCAGTTGCTTATTTTGCCGGTGAGTATTTTTGACTGTCCTCTTTCTATTAGTCTCGTTAATGATGAGTTTATTACCATATTTAACAATTATTCGCCGAAGGCGARGTGAATATCGGGTATTTACTGAGACGCGAGTCATCGAGCGGCGAGGTAAATATTCTCCGATATTCACTGAGGCTGAGGTAAATAATTGTTTTAGTATAAATACACAGGGGATTCTTTCAAAAAAGAAAAAAAAAAGATAAAAGACATTTTTTCCCGGTAACAGCAACAAAGCGGCTGGCCGCCATTTTGGATTATAGCTGGAGGTGGTTATCGTGCGCGAGATTTTCAATAATCACCTGTGTATTTTTACTAAATACAAATAAAWTACAGCGAGGAAAACAGACTATGTAGAATTAAGACTAGAAAAATAAGTAAMAGCTACACAGAATAGCTGATAGCTAATCTAGCTGAGTAGCTAATATTGAAATTAAACATGAAATTGGCTGATGGTAAATGAGTTGCACACAGTTACAAGTCAAAAATAATATCCAAATTGATAACATGTCCGTAAGCAGTTCTCCAGAATTTTATTTTTCTTGTATTTATAGGAAAGACCCAGTGAGGTATTCCGGGAAGATGAAAGTGTGAATCGTTCAGTGTCTATGTTAGCTGCTCTAAAACACATTTGTATTGCGAGCCCCATCTGCGAGAAGAAAGCTGTTGCCTTGGTGTTCCAGGCGTTGAAAAAAAACCTCTTAGACCAAGATTGTGTCATTAAGGTGACATTGTGATCCTCCTCTCTCTTTCTTATCCTCTCCTTTCTATTCTTTCAATTCACGGTTCCGACTCCCTTAGTTACCGTTGCTATGTCCCATAAGCTTAAAAAATTATCTGGGCCGGGTTGTTCAAAGCTGGATTTGCGCTAATCCAGGATTAACTCGTTAGGACTTATTAAGAGTTAACCCAGGATTAGCACTAATCGGGCGTTGAACAACTGGGCCTAGATCGCGGAAAATGGATTATAAATTCTTTCAATAGTTTACTGTCCTGAATAGAAAAATAGAAATAGAATAGAAAATGGCCTCGTAATCCTTGTAGTACTCTTTAAAACAGATGCTGTGTAATTGTTTGTGGGACAAGATTTTAATTCTACTGGGAAAACTGCTGCAAAGGTGATTGGTTCGCTACTGTCTGAGTCAGAACCAAGAATAGAATAGTTTTACCCGCGGGAATTGAATTCTTTCTCATGTAGGACGATTGTATTGTTCCTGCTCTCCAACATGGCTGCTGTCATGTAAAAAAATGTAAAATTTTCGATGCCCTGAAACAACCTTTGGACTTTTCAAAGCCAGGGCATGGCTACTTACAAATMGAATTGGAATTTAACTTGTTATGTTTTACRGAGGGACAAAACTTTGGAGAAAACTCCCGAATCACATGTATTGTAAAATCCACGAATAGAACTTGAGACGCTAGAGGCGAGAGGCATCCGCTGCGCTACCCTTGATTCCCTTATGGGATCGCGCAAAAACTTTATCTTAACATAACTTTGACATTATTTTCAGGTCCTGGCTCAGTTATCTAAGAAACTGGGCTTCCATTCCAGTTCATCGTACATGAAGTTTCACCTGCCGTTTGTTATTGATAACTGGTTTAATCATGGCTTCAAGGTCACAGAATTTCCACACCGAATTCTTGGATTCAAATCTTCAGCCGAATTTTTAAAGTAAGTAAGACTACAACTCCCAGAGGTCCATGCGGGCACTCCATCTTTCTTGCGTCACTACTCAATGTTATTATAGTACAACAAAGTAAGCAGCCCTTCATTGCGTGCTTCTAGATTTGCTCACTTCTATTGTCCTAATTCACTATGACGTCACATCAAAACAATCTTCAACAATCTATTGTTTAAACGTAAGGGATCATGGTCGTCGGACGGGGTCAAATCAACGCAAATTCACCGAAAATTGTTCTAAAAACCGTATCAATCCACGAAGAGAAGTAGAATAGCCAGTAAACGCTCAGAATATTTTTTAGTACATATTAACACATAATATATTTGAAAACCAGGCCATTTTAGATTAAACTATTTCGCTAGGAGCAAATTTCGTTGAATTTTCTATTGGATTTGGCGATTCTATCCCCCACATAAACAAGCAGTGACGTCATAGTGAAATAGGGCAATTGGACGTCATTTCGGTATTGTGAAATTTTTAGTAACTTATTTGCAAGTTTTTATGTTTTTGGAAAAACTACGTGTTTGACGTCAAAGCCCGCCCCCATATTGGTGTAAATTTGATAATAACTTTGTCATTAGTTTCTTTTGTTAGGTACACCAATATGGCTGCCACCTCTATTGTCAGACTTATATTATGGAAATTAATATCCCATAATGTGGTGCCGGACATATCCCTATATAGTAACACTGGCGAAGCATCTACCAATAATATTCTGTTCTATCTTCCAATTAGATGTCACTATGATGTTATTTTGCCTCAAATCATCTCCCGGCCAAACCAACTCGAGGCATCTATGGGACAGTTCACAGGGGCCATCAGCCCTGGTGGTGGTGAATGTAAAGACTATATTTTACACAGCTTTTGCTCCATTGTATCGTGTTTACTGCCATGGTTCGCGGTACAAAGCAGAAAAGAAGATGGAAGTAGCCAAGAAAACAGTGAAACGCAAAAACAGCTTTTGAAAGAGAGAGAGACAAGGAGAACAGAAGCGAACAAAAGCTACGAGTATCTCAAGCAGACCCTCACTCCACAGGTAACCTAACATYATTGCCATTGATTGTCAGGTCATGATGCTTCGGGCAGGAATAAGAAACGTATGCGCATGCGCCAAATTGTCTAAGAAACATAGGGGCTTGAAAACTTTCCAATTAGCACGAAAATTGGTCGAGGTTTTTAGGGAAAAAATTTTAGTACAAATATTACGGAAGTTCTACATACGATGAACAAGAATTGAACTTAAACTATTGCACTTTTGTAGCATTTWAAAATTTTTTGAAGCCATTTTCTTTTCTTTTTTCAACATTTTTGTACTTCTTCAGGTAGTGGACAAGACAATGGCATCAAGGTTTGACGAGGTTGTGTTGAATCTGTTGCTACGAATACACGAACCATCAAACGAGGGATCAGATCTTGCTGCATTTTCAAGGTAAGTGTCACCTTCACCCTCGTTTTACAAGACACGCTACGTGCTTGAGCGACACTAGAGAAAAACGTTTGCGCATGCGTGCATTTCAGCAGGTTTTCTAAGAATTTTGAAGAGTTTGAGTGAGAAAATAAATGTTTGTTTTCTCAAAGTATAAGAAAACGTTCGAGATTATACTTTTGTCAGATCAAGATACTGTCTTAACAAACACAATGTGAAAGAATTAGCCTTAAGTTTCAAGCATGGACACTAAGTTTTGGCATTTTGTGAAGTCCAATTTATCAGGCATGTTTGAAACTTATGTTTTGACTAATTTGCCTACGGATTCAGAGTATGCGCAGACGTTTTTCACTCGTGTCAGCTTGGGTATAATAATTTCATATTTTAGACCACGTGTCATCCCCTAGAGAATCATTTCTTTGTTTCATCTCATGTGTCTTCTCATGCACAACCGTTAAACAAACAAAAATACTCTAGGGAATGACACGTTGTCTGAAATAGGAAATTTTTATACCCAAGCTTAAGAGGTTTATTTTTTTATTTTCAAATATTTTGTTGGATTTAGCGTCTCTTGATTATGTGATTGGTGCAGTAGTGAGAGTCCTAGAGCTAGAAGGGTGCGCTCGCGTCCTTTTTGGCGCCAAAGTTTCCGCCAAACCACAGGCACCCCACCAATATATCTTGAATCTGTTTCAAGACTTGGGGTATGTTTTATYTGACAGTTATTACTGAGGTAGTATTTACTATGGTTGTTTCGTTTGTTAGAGAGGAAGACCCAGAGCCTAATCTTCCATATTTCACGTCAGAAGCCATTAAAGCATCGTTGGATTATCTGACTATGTGTTCTAAAGGAGACACTTTGGTTTCTGTTCTCTGTAAAAACAAGGTCAGTTGTTAAATAAAAATAAATAGTTAAATAGTTTATTTCTTTACTATTTCTTTTATTATTTCTTTATTATTTTTATTTTATTTTTGTAGCGGTTTATTTATCTATATTCCTTTATTATTTCTTTATATCTTTATATTTAATTGCTTGTATAGTATCATTATAATTTTATTTATTTATTCGTTCGCGCATTCGTATGCGGATTTATCCATTCGATTGTGTTTCGTTCGTTTAGCCAGTCGTTCATTGATCTGTTTGAAGGCTGAATCGTTTGTTTGTTCGTTGCTCGTTCATTCATTCATTCATTTTTTTTCTTTTGCCCAGATGGGCTGCAGAATTTGGTTTAAGAATTAACCAAGAACTTTTTCCCCCGGTAGGAATGAAAAAGATAGATAATTATTTTCCCCACAGGATAATATTCAAAAGATTCTACTGGCCTTGAATCAGCGTATCTTTGATACCCACCTGGTGTACGAAAAGAGGAGGCTGTTGATGATGTACCGGCTGTTCGTGTTACTGGTGTTGAGAGAGCTCAGTGGTGGACTGGGGAATACCTGGGCTTTTTTTATCAGGGACGTGATATATTCACTCAGGTAATCATTAATCATCATCATTATCATCACCATCACAAYYAWTATCAACACCAATATCACCATCATTGCCATTTTCACCGTCATCACCATTGTCATTGTCACCATTATCATTATCGTCGTTATCGTCATCACCATTATCATTATCACCCTTATCATCATCACCATTATTATTATCACC